GCAGCTGTAAACGTGTTAGTGATAAGGTAATCAGATCTGACTGCATGTTAAAAAAAGAAAGTATGTGACAGGATTGTGCTTTTACGCTACATCGTGGCCCGTTGGTTTGGAAACGTGCCTGTAACTGAAAGGTCACAGATTTGATCCTCACTATAGCCCATGTGCTCCCATCAGCAACAAAGAAACCTGCCTGCTTACACAGACACTGTGAAACACAACAGCCACTGGTGAACATGTTCTTTCGTTTGTCATGCATGTAAATCTCACATTTATGCTAAATACATACAACTACGTTTACCTTTGAAAACAGCGTTTTCAAAATACACCGATCACATGAGCGTTTTGGCTCTGTGTCAATTTGAATCCCCGTCCATACTAACATGTCTGAAATTGCATGTCACGTACATTGGGCATACGCTTGCCGCTGTTAACAGGAAGCATTTGGTTGTTAGTTGCAAAAAGATTTAGGCTACAAATGAGAAGCAGCAATGGTTAAAAGTACAGCAAAGCAGCTGTAAGCACAGACGACAGGGTCGGCAACACATGTAATTGACTATCCATGTTGTTTTCTACACTGCTAGCTGAGGAAAATGCCGTTTTCTTCAGGAAGGGGGTCATGTGAGAGGAGCCTGACAAATCAGTGAAGGTTACGTCTTAACCAAAAAGACCCAACCAGTAAGCTGCTGTAAGTGTCTACGTCATAGTGTCTTTCCATCCAGACTAAAACGCAGCACTGGAGCTTTCAAACTTAAACGGGGCCAGAGGGGTTTCAAAATGTCTCTGATTTAGCAGCTCTAAAACTCTGGAGTAGTGTGGAAGCCAGGTGTATCAGCAGCACGGTTGATGCATTTTCAAACAAAAAAACGTAGCAATATGGAGGTAGCATGGATAACTAGCCAATCATAGCTAGTCTCATCATGAGCACAGCTGAGTTTAACAGCAGGGCTTTGGTAGATTCTAGATTTTGGCCTCACTCACTCATGATGCAATGCATTTGTGGTCATCTCAAACTGTTTCTCCCGCAGTTCATTTAATGCACAAGCTCGCACACCTGCTCCCGTCAGTTGCGTAATGTCACTGTCACTGAGACACCACCATTAACAATGCACAAGCTAATGATATCTAATAGTAAAGGATTATGATTTTCCTATTTCTTAAGAATTGGCACTCCTGTAATTACATGGTGAAACTCTCCCGGAGCTTGATGCCCTGCTCGCTCCTATTCAGAAGAAAAAGAAACCGGTCTAACTTAAAAGCAAAGAGGAGAACAGGTGTCTAAAACTTAATCAAGGACCTTGTCAATCTCAAACTAGAATATGACCCAGCAAACCCAGCGCAGCCTTGTGTTTCCCTCAACTAATCACTATTTATAGCCTTCATCAGGTATTCTCATTTAGATCTCAAATCTCTGTTGCAAAAAAGAGATGTAAGCATGGAGAGAAAATACAAATGGAACAGAGATCAGACAGACAACAAAAACAGCCAGTCACGCACAAGCAGACAACATCAGTAACAATAAGAGACATCCCAAAAAAGGTCCAAAGTTAAAGGTTTAGGTTTGTCACAATGGATGAGAAGAAAGGCCTTGCAGAACACTGAACTGGTTCAACTGGATTAATACTTGACATAAGGGATGGACGACAGTCACGATAAAGATACCCACAGCGTAGGATTTCACTCGCTGATAGCACCGCTGCAACACCAGATGGCTGTGTGACTTATGACTGAAAAGATTGCTAGGGCTTTTCTTGCTTCATCTTATCTTCACTATCAACAATCTCCAGGAGCTTCGGGCTCCCCGTGAGGCGTTATTTTTTTCCCCCCTCAGGAGGTGAACTTAGCCCCAGCGTAGCCTACAGTGGTTACATCCATCAGTTCCGCATCTTATTTATGAACGCACAACTGTAGAAAAATCCAGATTGACCCTTGAGTGCTAAGGTTTCACTTGGTATGTCCATATAGTCATGAAGGTTGATGTTTTATCAGAGCAAATGTCTGTGTGTGTGACACAATATTTACAACCCTGTGCTTCACTTGTGTGAACAAGCCTAATCTGACAAATAAAATTAGTGGTTAATAAATCGTGAATTGAAATAAAATGTATTAACAATGTGTGTAAGTGTGTGTGGGTGTGGGTGTGTACGCAGTGGACATGGAGCCAACAACAAACTTCCAGAACATGTCAAAGAACTATAATTATTGGCTGTTCCAATGTGCCTGTAAGTCATCTGTCTGGACCATTAGCACAACAAATGGCATCAGGTGGACATTTTATCCATAGTATATACAATTTATCATCTCTATAGAGATTTCTTTCAGGACTGAGCCCCTACCTATCCCAGTGTTGGTGCAACATGATACCTGTCTGGTGGCAGAGAGCAGAAAAGGGCTGCCGAGTGCTGAGCTACAAACCCTCCCATTATCAGACAATTATAAGTTTGCAAGTGTCCATTCTGTAAAAGTGCAATTTAGCAAGAAATTCAACTGATGTCTGGGTCAAATCTCATTTTCTCACCTGGAGAAAGTCTTAATATACAGTATGTATGAACTAACTCGTATCATAAATCTGTAAGGGGTTGCACTGCAAATGTCATACCCCAGGTCTCCTTTATCTGCACCTTCTGCTTTTGATGCTTTTAGAGATAGTTCTTGAATTATCAAAATGTCAAAGAAATGGTGGAGCAGACAGAGTGAGCTGCTAACTGTCTTCAACTCCTTCCTCACTAATAGTCAGCCTATAAACACAAACACACACTTTCCATAATTACAGGCCTGCCCCTGCCCCAACGTGGGTGTGTCTGAGAACCATAAGACCAAGGCTCAGTGAACAGGGCTGCGCATTACAATATGAAATCGTCAAGAACATTGCTCTTATTAAACCTGAACTTTTGAAATGCAAACCTAACATTTCCAACTTAAAGTTATATTCTGCACTGATTTCTTTCCACTTATCTCAAACACTGTTTTGCTTATTTTGTCACTTAGAAACACTGTTTTTTTACATTGGCCATTCTCTAAAAAACAGACATTAACTATAATGACCAGCCAGTGCTCTTTCACAGCCACACTCATTTGTGTCATTTATGTTGTGAAGTTATCATGTGCAACTAAATCATGACGTGAGCATGATAGCTACCGTGAATGAATCTGTACTGAGGCACAACTTCTCCACACAGTCTACATCCATCAAACCTCTATGAAAGAACCCCCATAGATTAGGACCTGCTGGGTATTTGTGTATGCATGCATGCGATGTGTGTAGTCACATCAACAGCATACTTGGCTTTCCTAGAATGCCGGCTTCTAGAATGCCAGCTTCTATAGTGAATACATACAGCCATCTAGCTGCAGCTCTTCTGAGGAATAAAATGGGAGAGCGGTGGCAGATTTTACTCTCGTTTCCTTTCATCTCCTTTTCAATTCGTACCTAAACAATGCTAAGATCTTACAATGAAGTGTAAAAATAAACACCTTCTGTAATGAAGCTACTAAATGCTGTGTCTGCATTCACTGTGTCACTGTAAGTGACTGGGCAGAAGGATGTCACTGTGTCTTTAAGCAGTAATTTGCCGACCATGGGCCAGAGGCAGTTTGGTTTAATGTCCACAAGGGCCACAGGGAGGTCCTGCACTATTAAAACCACTGCTGCTCTGTCAAGCTGTAGCTGGTCCGGCTTGTGAGGCTCTTAAATAATGACTGAGGCAGCCTCCAAAATTAAGGACGTTCTGATTTTGCATTTCAAAAGGGGAGGAACTTGGCTCATTGCAGCAACAAAGAGGATAACAATGTTGACATTCCCCCGACAAGTATCCTTTGGTCATTTCTAAAGGAACTCAAGAGCTTGTCCACAGGAGATGTGGTGTGACAGGGGACATTGTACAGTTTGTCTGTGTGGATTTCACGCAAGCAACATCAGGATATTTTCTTTTAAAATGACTGAATCTGATCATTTAAAGATTTTGGCTGCAAACCTCCTCATCAGTGAAATAACACAGAAAAGATCCTCATTAGACAGCAATAAGACATTCAACAATCCTCTATGTTACCACTGCCCCCTATCAACAGGAAATCATTGTAGCATTCCTATAAAATCTACTATGAATTTATAGACTCAAAATGCTTGCATTTGCTAAAGCAGCACTGCAGTTTTGGGGCCGGAGTAAAGCCTTTTTGTTACGATATCATGTGAAATCTGCATTATTTTGATTGAGGGTCGATGGTATATTGTGAATGTATATTCAAAAGTTACTCGTACAACAACAACTCAATAACTCCTGTGCAGCCATCAGGGGTGATTTTCAAGTCAGATGACAGGTAACCTTCAGCTGGCTGTGATGAGGTGTTTGCATCACTGGACTGGCTAAAAGTTTAGCAAAACAGGCTGGAGCATAAACTGCTTCCACGGAGACCAAGGAAGCAATGTTGCAACGTAAATGCTTTTCTTGCAGAATGGTTTGCATCCTTACACAAAGAACAGGGAAGTTGTTTGCATGCAAAAAAAAAGCAGACCTCCACCAGAAGTTGGCTAGAAGAATCTGAGCTGATAATCACAAGTTGACTATTGACAGTCACCGCATAAAGCAGAGCTGATGGTGCAAAACATGACATGTCTCTTGTCATTTACAGATCTTGCAGCATTGCAGATCCAGCAGCATGTTTTCTAGACTTCTTTGTAAGCAAAAGCAGCAGTTATCACTCTGCTTTAAACAAGTGTGTGTGTGTGTGTGTGTGTGTGTGTGTGTGTTTCCAAAACAATTAGCAGCGCTCAGTGAACGTGTTTTCAACAAGTTTTCTCCGAGCTGAACAAGTAGTAATAGTAGTGGAAGTAGAAGTGCAGCTTGCAGCATGATGGGGGTCCAAGAATTTGGGGCTGGGGGCAGAAATGGAGGGGAAATGAAAGAGGGGGAGTGTGTAGTGAAGTGTGTGTGGTGTTCATGTGTGACTGTGTGAGAGAGGGGGTCTCAGCGAAGTCTTGGCCGTGATTGAGAGCTCATTCTTACCGCGATCAGCGTGTTATTCCTCTGTTCCGCGGAGGAGGCAGAGTCCGGGTCGGGCTGCTTGCTCTGCGGCTGCTTGCTGCTACCGCTGCCGCCGGCGGACTTCTTGGCCCTCTGCTCCAGACTCCGCTGGTACAGGCTGACCGTCTCCCTGCGGTCTATCTCCAGCTGCTCGGCGTGTGCCTGCTGGTACCTGCTCTCGCAATTGACGTGGTGTCTCCGGCAGCCCTCTATCCGCTGCCTCAGCCTCTCCACCACGGTGCTGTGCTTAGGTATGCCCACCGCCCCGGCGGGCACCACGCTCCCGGCGGCCGGGTTCATGCTGTTGTTGATGCAGATACTGCCGTTGGGTCCGGCAGCGGGGGAGGCGAAGTCCCCCATCTCTGGGCCGGGTGGCTGCTATTTTGGAAGAACTTTCCCCCCCGTCTCGCTCACAGACACCGCCGCCACCTCTTCCGACCACCTCCACCGCCGAGTGTCCCTCTCTGTCCTCCCCGGCGAAGGGTCCCAAGCAGCCGGGTAGCGGACGACAGATACGACCGACAACAGCCGGGCAGGTTTAAAGGGTTGCGAGCCCGGCAATGACCGTCTCTTGTTCCCTCCTGTGCTCTGTTTCCAAACAAACCGCTCCCGGGAACACAAATAACAGGCAGCCCGAGTGAGAGCCGGGCAAGCCCCGCACTGAATCCAACAATACACCCGCTGCCACGCTGCTAACAACAACTCCACCGGGAAACAACACAACAATACGGCGGAGGTCCGGACGTGAGCAGGCGCTCAGCGGTTACACACACACAAACCGTCCCGCGGAGGAGCAGCAGCGGCGGCGGCGGCACCAGTAACAGTCCACTCGCCGTCTCACGGTGTTGTCCTTGGAGAAAAAGTTTTGCTGCCTGAACCGAACGGGCTCCGGAGTTTCCCAGTGAACTTGCATCTCATATGGTTTTGGTTTGAAAGAAATCCCGGGGAAGACGTTGAGTTGTGGGGGTTGCAAGGACCCAGGCGCCCGCGGTAGTCCGGTGAGAGGCTACTCGAGCAGCCCAGACGGCGCAAAACGCGGATATGGGAAGCAGCGGCGGAAGTGTGTAGTCAGCGGCTGCTGCCTGCCACCATCACAACAATCAGGTCCGCTTCTCCACCATGCCAGCGGAGTGATATCAGGACAGGAGCTCAAACCAGCGAGAGGCTGTGAGGAGCCCGTGATGGACACCCGCAAAACCCGGTCCGGAATCCGGAGTGTAACCCGGAGAGGAGCGGGCTCGTCACACCGACGACCTTCTCTGTGTTGTGCTCACGAGATTTGACACATTATTACTATTATTATAAGTAGTAGTAGTATAAGCCCATACACTTCTGGCGCTACATAAATAAAAGTATTAATATTATTAATAACAATATATTACTATTTATATACAAATTAATGTTATTATTAATATAGATATGAACATTATTATTATTATTAATGCTACAACCTAACTTTGATTTATCAGCATTACACACCATTATAAGGTGCTGCGATCCATTGACAAGACTGGAGTTTAGGTGTTTAATAATCATGTGATAATGTTATTAAAGTGGACCACAGACACCATCATGCTCCAGTGTGAATCTGACACACACTACTGCAACCACATGTTACTGTCTAGAGCCAAATGTATTGAGGTAAAAGCCGGGAATTTAGAGTTACAAGATACATAGATACTTTATTGATCCCGAAGGAAATTCAAGCATCCAGTGGCAGTAACGTACATACAAGGAAGGCTGTTGGATGTTGAAATCTGTGATGTGAGGAACGAAGCGGCCGACAACATGTGGTCGGTGAATCATAGCTTGACAGATTTGAACATGAACCTGCAGTGAGGATGTATCACATTTATTGAGAGCCGATAGTCTTGCTATGATGTAAACATGTCATTGACCTGCTCATGTGATGCACTGCAGGTCTACGCATGGTTGTAACACATTGTGGACTGAGTGCACAGCTATTAACACAAACTGATGATTAATATACAGCAAGAAAAAGTGTGGCATTTGGAATGATCTTTTTTTTTCACATGAAATGGTTGTAAAATGTGATATGACTTTTGTTTCGACAAACACTGTGATTAAGCTGATAACATAAAACCACCAGGAACCGTTTGTGTTTTTATTTAAGCACACATCAAACATTCACAGTGATGGAGGGAAAACTAAGTGAAGCCTTGAATTCAGTAACTGGTCGAACCTTCTTTTGTCAACAAAACAATTATATCAGCTTTCGAACCCTTTTGCGCTTTGTGCAAATCAACAAGTTTGGATTGGGAATCGTCTGAGATCGCATCTTGGTTCTTCGTCCACAACAGCAGAAGCTTCTTGTGACTAATAAACTCAAAATGTCTCGGTTTTCTATGAGTCAGCCGACACCTCAAGTCCTGTTTCATTGATTGGACTTGAGCGTTGCAGATTCCTGACTCCACTGAGCCTTTGTTGATGTCAGTCGCAGCCTAAATGTCAGAGAAGTGAGCTTGTGACAAGACTCAATATTAAAACTGGGTGTGAAAAGTGAAAAAAACCATGAGCACCACTGTAATGCTCTTGAGCAAGGCCCTCAACCCCGACTGCTTGTGCTGGGCCTCTTCCAAGTGTGAATGTGTTTGAGTGCGTGAATGTGATCTGGGTGTTCCTGCAAGAGAAGCTGCCTCTCACTGAAACTACCCTGAATAAATACAAAGTTGAAAACAATAAGCTTAGGTGTTCATATTCTTTTTCGAGCCTAAACTGTGAATGTTTGAATATATATTCAACAATACAACAAAATAATTTGTGTGCTATTACCTACATCAGAGTTTGTTCCAATGTAACTGAAGCATTTTTCAGACATGTCCTGCAGAGGATCTCTGAGGAATTGGAGATCTAGACTTGCTCCGCAGTTTGCGTTTCACACATGCACAATGTAGTGGGAGAATCTCTAAGACTCCTTCACAACTGTAACAAATCCTCTGCAGGATTCAGGTGAGGGGTTGAGTAGCAGGCAGAGGCAGGAAGTAACGCCCCCCCCTCTTTGATTGTGGTGAATCTAGCAGAGGATCTCTTGTTAGATTGTCGGACTTTCTGGCGTGGAGAGTCCCTCTCAGACATTTGCATTCACACACATACACCTACTCCGCAGAAACTCCAGGGGATCTCCGGAGTTCATTGCATGTCAGAAAGCAGCTATAGAAAAATCAATACATAAAAGTGGATCATTACAAATGGTTCACTCACTTTGTCTTACCAGTGTTGTAATATCCTACACTTGAGCAGTTGAAGGCTTCCAGTTCCTAGTAAAATGTACAAGCTTCAACAATCTGTTTTTGTCAACACCTCTCCCATCACTGGAAAACTACACAGTAGAGTAAAACATTTCTTTCAAACCATTACATTCAAAAATCTAAATGATGAAAATCTAAATTGATTATTTCAAATAAGTGTGTAAATAGATTCAAATGATCAAGTTCCGCTTGTGTGCCACTATAGCTTACAGAAAATTGGTGAACAGATACGTTTTTATTATCCTATATAATCACATGTATGCAAGCAGCTAAATATCAGACAGCAGACAGATGTAGAGGTGAAGAATCAACAGCTGCTGAAACTGAAGAATTGTGCGTTTTTATTTTGAAACATTTCATCAACTGTATAAAGAGCTTTTTAACATTGCAGAGCAATAACTGAAAAAAGGTTCACCATTATAATAAGTTTCAGGTCTATTTAAAGACCCCAATAAGAAGAAGTTCAAACTCATAGTGTCTTAATAAAAGTTGGTAAAACACTCATTTCAAAGAGAAGGTAGGAAAAAAAGTAAAGGAAATCAAATCAGAGCAATTGCAAAGTTATCTCACCTGTGAATCAACCATGTTATTCAAATGTAGACTTCAAATTTAAGGATGCAACATTTGAATATTTCTTCATGTAATGACCTAATTTTACGAATCACAGGCTTTTTTACTTGGCATGGTTAAAACCAAAGGCAAAACCCCTCCAAGACACCACTGAAGCACGATCACAGGGATGTGTGGATGTTCACATGCACAAATGCACAAAAACTGTGAATCATAACCTCAAAAATACAAGTGGTTTATTTCAATGTTATGTCGCAGCAGAGGCGAGCTTGCTGCCATTTTTATTTTTATCTGCCATGTCATGTGGGAGTTCTGAGTTCCATCCCCGACTGTTCAGGCCATATGCGCTCCCTTGTCTCGTTCTAGCCATTTCACCAACACAGACACACACACACACACACACACACACTCTACTACACTAGAGGCGTAGACCTGTGCACTCACACACATACACACACACACACACACAATCTGCAAGGCAATTAAAACACAGCCAGCATGTGTCTCTGCTTCCACTCCATTGGGTGTTATTCATTTCTGTTTCCTGTGTCAGTGTTAAAAGGTTATTAAAAGAGGTGATTGTTGCTTCAAGGTTAATTCACTCACATTTTCTTTCTGGCGTTGTAGAAACCCTGCAGTCATTCGGTCACATTTGGTGGTTTGGATGATCTACACATGTTCTCTCAAAAACATTTGCACATCTCACTTTTAGTGTCTCCAAACCAGATGTTCATGATGTCAAGATTGAGGCATTTCCCTCTTTGATAAGAACACCTGTAGGACACAAGCAAAGATTGGAGAAAGGTCTTTGTGTTTTTATCAGCAAATCTTTTCTCCAATTTATAACTGAGAATTATTTTTTCATCCACAAGACACCAAAGTCATGTGTACAATTTCAGTTTCAAAACTGTAGTGGATTAGAGGATGACTGTTGAGTAAGTGGTCCTTCAAAGTGGTTCAACACCAATTTGCTTTCACACAAACGTAGAAACCTCAGACAGAGCCATATGTGAGGGATCCCTCTCCAAGGACGGACAGAAGTGTGGGCAAGACACTGAACCCCAAATTGCACATAATGTCAACTAACAACAACAGAATATGGAGTGAAGTAAAGAACTTTAATTAACATAACACTTTAAGGGGATTTTTGATTTGTTTTATAATTGTGGGTGGGAGATGGCCCTCTGTCGGCAGCTACAACATGGTGGCAGTGATACAATGTATTCTTATGGGGCAACAGCGACAGTCCAGGGGATGTCCACTGAAAGTGCTTCTTATCACCAATAAAATATGGTTATTCTGGGTTTTTGCAAAGAGTGACAACAACATTATACATGTCGCGCTCCACAAGAAGTCTTACCCTCGTGAGACGTGGCTTGTTGCAGGAAAATGGGGGTTGGATTTCACTGAGAGAGACTATTGTGACTGAATCCATAGATGGACCATGAGCTCCTACAAATTGAAGGTGAACAAGGGGATGGAGAAAGAGAGAGGGGCAAACAGAGAAGGGACAACAAGCTGCTGCTCGGTTGAGAGTGAGATTTCTTGTTGAGACGTTTAATGTTAACAGACTCTTAGCAAAGAGCCAGATTAACCATTTAAGCTTTTTTATTGGTGAAAAAACCCATTTTTTTCTCACACAGTGGACATGTTGTGGACTGTTGCACCATAAGATTACATTGTAGCCACTGCCGCCGAGTTGTGGCTGCCAGTGGACACAAACTACTGGACCGATTCGAAAAGCTGACCATTCATAAACATGCCCACTCACTATTCCCCTGTAAGTAGAGTACTTAAGTAAATGTACTTAGTTACAATTACTCAATTACAGCTTAAACAAGGAGAGCATTAAAGTAAACAGAGAGGAAAAATTGTCTAACTGAAGTCTTTCCAAAAATCTTTCATATAAAACCATTTCATTTGTAAACCTCTTTTTGTCGTTATTACAACACATATTCATTCAGTCACTGAGCATAGGGGGTCTTTCCTGGGAAAAATTTTCCAGAGCAAAGAAAGGCATAAACAGCATCATTACCAGTTTGTCGAGTCTGAGGGTGAATTTTAAACAAATGATACAGAGCAGAACAAACTTCTTTTATCGAAAAATACAAGAAACATTAAAAAAAAGTGAAGATGCTGTTTGATCATCAAATAAACTGTCACCACTCAAATCATGACAACAACAGCAAATACGTCAATCACCAAACAGAGACCTCAAATTCGTTTTTTTTGTGACATGAAAATCGTGTCGACAAAAAGTCACAGAGGCAGAAGTAAATTATAACTAAACTGTTTCTGACTATTTCATCATCCCCCCAGCTGCCAGACCTGAAGCCACGAGTATTTTCCTGGAACATCTTGCTTTTCTCTCTGCTTTGGAGGAAAGGCTTTGGTTCTCTTGTTATTGTTCTAGGTGGAGCAAGAAAATGTCTCCATTGGCCCTGGGCTGAA